CCCCCCCCCGCTCCCCTGCTTTGGGAGAGTCACACATTAGTGCAGAGATTAGAGCGGCAGCTAGTGTGGCCAACTCCAATTCCAGCTGGCTCTCAGGCCCCATCCTACCACCATTATCCTTCCTGTCTCTGCTCTCTGCCCCCACACATCTGGCCAGGTACTCAGCCCCAGAGCTTCCGCCAGCCCTCTCCTGGCTATCCCTTAGCTGAAGTCACCTCCTCCAACCCTGCCCCTTCTGACAACCATCTCCTCTGGCTTGATGGCCTCACTGCTCTTCCACATCGAGGCACGTCCAGTGGGTGCTCCCATGCCGACCACATCACTTCTGATCTTTTAGTCCTCCACTGGTTTCTGGTCACTTACTGCATTGTATTCAAAGCTCCCACAGAATCCTACCTCCACCTGCCACTCTCCCTTTCATTCCCCATGCTACTCCTTGCCGTACCCTTTCCTCCCTCCCCTCTCAGCAGCCACCACGTTGCCTCCTACTCCCAAAGGACCTTCCGTTCCCCATTACTGTCTGTTCTCCAAAACCAAACCCCCCATCTACCTGTCTAGAATCTGCATCCATCCTCCTTACCCACTGCTAGTCTGCGCCACACGTTTGTCTGCCTGCTGGGATTTGGACTGCATGTCCCGCAGGGAAAGGAATGCTCCCCCATCGTCATTTATAGCTCTAATGATGCCCCTTAAAATTAGGATCCCAAACAAAGACAGCAGACATCTTGGATGCTGATTCCCACAAGCCCCAGGAAAACAGACACATGGTTGAGGGGAGAACTGAAGCATGGGTTGGGATGGTGGGAAGGGTGAAATGGCAATCAGACTGATGTGAACTCAAGGCCAGATATCTTGCCAGACACACAGCTAGATGGGTGAAGCAGTAGGAAATCATCTAGCTCAGTATCCTGTCTTCTGACAGTGGCCAATGCCAGATGCTCCAGAGGGAATGAACACAACAGGGAATCAAGTGATTCGTCACCTGTTACGCATTCACAGCTTCTGACAAACAGAGACTAAGGACACCATTCCTGCCCACTCTGGCTAATAGGCATTGATGGACCTAACCTCCATAAATTTATCTATTTCTTTAAATTCCTGGCCTTCAGAACATCTTCTGGCAAGGGGTTCCACAGGTTAACAATGCGTTGTGTGAAGAAATGCTTCCTTTTGTTTTAGGCCTGCTACTTATTAATTTCATTTGATGGCTCTTAGCTCATTGGCAGCATTACAGTGAGATGTATGGGACTGAAATGAAAAGCTCAGCCTCTCTGCCTTGACAGCGGAAAATAATCCCTTGGAAAGGACTCAAATCCCATTAGGGTCTGATAGTGACTCACTGTGCCATTGCGAAGGACGCGTACAAGCATCGTACTTTGTAGCGTTCTTATCTGAATGGACTAGGAGCATTTTTTTCTTTCACTGTGCAATTTGCTTCACAGCAGATAAAAGCCAGAGAGCAGGATGTGGGGCAGAAAGGACGCGAGTGACACATCCGGCAATGCACAGAGAAGGGGGAGGCATTTTCAGAAGTGACAGATGCATTACTGCAGCACTGCTTCAGTTTTTAAACAGCAGCAATAAGCTATCTGAAGGGCCAGCTCCCTACGCGGGAACGATGCTGATTTATGCCAGCTCAGGAACAGCCCAAACGCTTGAAGCCAAGTCCGTATCTTTCACGATTTACCTGGCGACATCCCTGACCAAACAGTTATGTACACGAGTAACTAGATGGCCCTGAGTTATCTCCTTGAGCATGACGTGGCCTCACCCCCGCGACGGTAGCTGCAAGCGCCAGCCATTGCAGGATCAAAGCATCATTAGCAAAGCAAAGGTGTTGGCTTACAGAACTTCCCCTCTCCAAGTCACTTGTTTGGCGCCCAGCCAGGTCCATAATGACCAAAAATCATTACTAGCTGATGGCGGTTTGATGGCCTCGCTCCAGCTCCCTGCAGAGAGGTGTCACGCATCACATCCGGCAATTGGCACCCTCGTTAGCAGCCTCAGCAGAAAGACCAAAAACTGGAAGGGGCAAGGAGGCGGACGGCCAAATCCTCAACTGGAGCAGGGAAGGGGAGCGCCAGTGACTTCAGTGGAGTAGGGCCGACTGATCCCAGCTGGGCATCTGGCCTTGAATTCTCCCTGCTACCTTCCATACCAGATCCACTGCGTGGCTGAGGCCCTCACTGTGCAGGGCTGTCAGCATAGATGTGGGAGTGCTGGGCTTTCTGTCCTGTACTTGTGAAGCACCCCCTAAGCTCCCTGGGACACTAGAGCCCCCATGGCAGAACTCGGAATCACTAGCACTATGGGAGGCAGGGGTGTCCCTGCTCCAAGGTTACTTGGAGTGAGAGTCGCATCACCAGCAGGAAGTACCTGGATGTGGAAAGCTAACTACCAGAGCACGGGAACAGGCATCCCAGGAAAGCTGCGGAATCCTCCTCCTCGGCAGCTTTTCAGACCAGCTTGGACAAACTTCTTGAGGGTGGTCTTGGTTGGTCCTGCCTTAGTGTGTGGCTGGAAGTCCCCACCCACCCTACACTTCTGTGACTATTCCCTCTCCTGGAATGTGTCTCTGGGGTGTTCCATAAAAGTGCTAGATGCCCAGAACTCCTGTTTAAGGGCAGGGGTTGGGGGCAAGCAGGGCAGGGAAAGACACACCACACCAGATCCACAGCCTGGCAAACTGACTTGGACGGAGCTCTGCTGAGCCGCCCGCCTATGGCCGGGGCTCAGACACTGGCAGCGGCCCTGCTGGGCATCTCGTGTGCATCCAAGCCTCTCTGACTTCCATAGGAGGTCCTGGTGTGCAATGAATGCAGAACCAGGCCCAGTACAGGGAGCCACTTAGGTTCCCAGCATTTCGCGCCCCACCTCCGAGAGCACCAAGAGCCCGCTGCAGTGCGCCCCTGGCTCTCAAACTCGGCTCCTCATGGAAGTTTACTTTGATCACTTCTACACACAGGCTGCAGAGAGCCCTTTTCTCCCTCAGGCAGGCAGGCTCAGGAACAAACTAATTAAAAAGAAGGCATTATAGCGATAATTAAAAAAAAAAAAAAGCTATAATTTTCCTTCTGACTCATTTTGTTCCCTCCATTAAATCGGAGAGCATTGGAACCTACCAGCACAATCCCATAAAGCCTGCTGCTTTGGATCACCGCCCCACTCCATCACTGGAGCAGCTCCTTTCAAATTGCCTCTTCATCTCGCCAGTCACCTGCCCTCAGCTGCCCCCGCTGTTCTCTCCGTGCAGTCCTCTAATCCCACTAGCAGCCGCCGACAACCCAGTGCAGACAGGTTACAGAAATGTCTGGAGCCAGTAGAGATGTTTGCTAACAGAAGCGGCGCATTTATGGCTGAGTGCAAAATGACTTCATCCAGGGATTATTGCAGTTGCCAAATGGGGTTTGAGTGTATCCTAGAAGCTGCAAGGTTGCAACAGAATGACTAGGGCAAGGCTGGGCAATAAGACAGAGGCGGTTTGCTAGGGTCAGCCCCTGGTTGGGCCGCTGCCATTTTATTTACCTGCACCTCTGCAGGTATGGGCGATCACAGCTCCCATTGTTCACGGATCACTGTTCCCGACCAATAGGAGCTGCAGGAAGTGGCACAGACCAAGACACCACTTCACACTGGCCAGGAACAGGGGCCCATGGCCAATGATTGCTGTACATGCAGAGGTGCAGGTAAACCAAACAGTGGCAGCCCAGCAGGGGCTAACCTTGAAGAACTGCATCCGGTCCACAGGCTGGTGATTGCTCACCTCAGGACTAGGGTCCCGCTCGCTCCCTAGAGTTTAATGTTGCAATGCCAGGGATGTATGGCAGGCAGGGACAGAAAGCTAGAATGGAGGTGCAGGGATAGTATTGGGCTCTGCACGTCTCCCAAGATCAGTGAATTACTTGGGGATGGGAACGGGGAGAGGAAAGATCTAAAGCCAATAGAGGTCTAAGCTGGTTCATGGTGGGGTGGCAAATCTGCTCGCCTGTCTAGACCATCCTGACAATGATTCTGAGAAGGGGGAAAACTCACTAATGGGCTTCATCTGAACTCAATGCGCGTCTGGTCATTGACTTGGGATTTATTCTGCATCAGAACCCAGGGTCTTCTCTGTCACTTATGGGGATATCCTCGCTGCAAGTCAAGTATTTCTGCACTCATCTAGAAAATACTCGGGCAGCGGGGAGTCAGAGTCTATTCCAAGCTAGATGGGAAATTCGATTCAGATTGTTCTTGTGCTCAGTGAGGGAGGGAAGGATCCCTTTCTTGGGACACCAGCAGACTTCATTAGCCAACGCTTTTCAACTGGGACAGTCACAGAGAAAGCCCCCAATGGATTTCTGGGCATACTTAAAACAGGGTTCAGATAGATCTGGGCTACTATGCAAGTTTAGGTCTCTCAAGCCAGCACTAAGGACTAAAGTCCAGATACTCTGTGGTCTACAAGTGCATAACTTGCATTGATTTTAACACCTTTGAGGATGTGGGCTGCAGTGTTCCCTCTAAGTCATGGGTTCCCAAACTGGGGGGCGTGAAGAAATTCCAGGGGGGCCCCCTAAGGCAACCCCCCCAATCAAGTTTTGCTGCCCTGGTCAGTTCCTTTCCCCCTCCCCACTAAGTTTTGCTGCTATTTTTTGGGCAGCAGGGGTGTGGTACTGAAAAGAGGTGTGGTGCCGAAAAGTTCGGGAACCACTGCTCTAAGCTGAGCAGCAGCACAGCTTGACAGGTGATTCATCAGCCCTGCCCAGTCAGCCAGCTTCCTGCTCAGAGCCCTGGACCTCTGACTAGGTGGGGCTGCCGCACAGCTTAGAAGAAACACCTGTGGGCTCCCATAATTTGGAAGCCCAAGTCCCAATGATTTTCCACAGGACTTTCACTCTCCGTCACAGCTGTGCTGTTAGAAGCCAGGAGCCCATTGAAGAGTGAAGAGCAATTTCCAGATCTTATTGTTCTAGGTGCCTAACTTGACACACTCTAAAAGAGCCTGATTTTCAGAGGATGGATGCACTTCCTGGGCATCAGATCCCTTTAAGCTGTATGTAAGGCACACCTCCCCAGAGTTTCTACCAAGGGTCAGGATCAGTGCTGTTCAGGCGATAGCAGTACAAGCTTAGCCCTGACCCTGATATGATGGAGCCACCTGTAGCGGTAGTGGAGTTTAATCTTCATTCTCTCTCAGTGCTTTAACCTTGCTAATAAGAGCTGCCAAATGCACTGTGGACATGAGTCCCTGGGGGAGCTGGATTGAATCTCCAACAAAGGCTCCGACTCAGCAAAGCACTTACGTATGTGCTTATCTTTAAGCAGCAATGGGACCAGTCTTTCCTAGGGTCTAGAAAACTGGACTGGGAGTCAGGAGACCAGGGTTGGTTTTATTCCTAACTACCATTGGCCTGCTGGATGACCCCTCCCTGTGCCTCAGTTTCCCCCTTCCAACACTGACCTCCTCTGTAAAATGCTTTGAGAGCTGATAGACGCATTAGGTATTACAAAGTGCCAGGGAAATCAAAGGTAAACACCTCAGTTCCCAGCTCAACAAGAGCTCACATGGGTTGCAGAAGAGAAGTAAAGTAATTACTAACCGCCACAGTATCCTGGCTGAGGAATCCTGATAGGCTCCCGGTTCCATAATGGATGGCGAAATCGGTGCCATTCTTCTGGTACGTACTGGATTTGTCTGAGTTGTATTTGTGATGTATCACTGCAGCAAGGAATAGGAACAGAGGAGGTACATGCAATATTAACACTGCTCAGCAATTTATAGTGTGTTGTTTGTTTAAAATGCTGGTCAGGCATTAGCCAATTAACTAAGCAAAATCTCAAAACGTTGAGGATAGATAGATCAATACATAGATAGATATCAGGAAGGCCTAATAATGAAGTTTCACAATCCACCTACAAGGTGCAATAGGGGATTATTATCCCATTTTACACCGGGGGAGGTAGTGGAGAAGCAGAGAAGTAAAGGTTACATGAAAGTCAGCAGTGGAACACAGATCAAGAAAGTGAGGACTTCCAGACTCATGACCCAACGCTCATAACTTAGTCTGCCCTACTCTTAGAAGTCCATGCATGTTGAAGGAGAGGCTAAGCAGAGCCCTGATTCTTACATATGCCAAATCTGGAATGCCTTACAAAGCATCTCTGACAGGCAAGGAATTCAATTATGAGATCCAATGTAGCACTTGAATAGGATTTGGCTACAGGATTTAGAGACTAGACTACACATGGCTGAGGTGTCAGGGGACATTAGAAACCACCCAAGTGATGCTCAAATCACCATAACTGCCCCCAAGAGGAAGATGCTTTGTGCTATGGAGGATATGGGTGAATTTAAGTATATAGAGGTATTAACACAAACATTTTATATTCACTCATTGAGATCATAGTTTCTCTTTCTTAAAGGTGATCTGGAGAAGATCTTTTAAAAAAAATGGTTTTCTGCCTCTTTTGCTTCTTCACCTGGAAAGCTTTAGTTTAAAAATAAAATGAAAAAAAAAAAGGCAGAGAAAGGGGGGGATGGTAAGAAAGAAGAGAGTCTTCCCCCAGACCTATTTGTTCTATACCTTAGGACAGCGGTCTCCAACCTTTTTAAGCACAAGATCACTTTTTGAATTTAAGTGCAATCCAAGAGCTACCTCAAACCCAAATACTGTTGCCCCACCCCCTTTGTGTGCCTTTTCTGAGGCACCACCCCTGCTCACTCGATCCTTCCTCCCTCACTTTCACCATCTGGGGCAGAGGGTTGGGGTGCAGGCTTTAGTCTTGGATTAAGGGATTTGGAGTGTGAGAGGGGCTCGGAGATGAGCTCGGGGCAGGCAGCTAGGATGTAGGAGGTGGTTCTAGGTGCAGGCTCTGGAAGGGCATTTGGATGCAGGGGCTAAGACAGGAGCTTGGGGTGCAAGAGGGGGTTCATGGCTGGGGTATGAGTATGGGATGTGGGCTCCAGTGGGGCACACCTTACCTCAGGTGGCTCCTGGGTGGTGGTGCACTGGGGCTAAGGCAGGCTCATCCCTGCCCTGGCCCTGCACCACTCCCAAAAGCAGCCAAACTCCATCCCAAGTCTTGTTGTGCCCCCTCTGCTCTGGTGAGAAAGTGGGAGAGGGGGGAACCTTGATATCAACCCCCGTCCTCTGCCTCCCCTGCCCTACAGAGAAAGCAGGAGGCTCCTAAGGGAACAGCTCCCAGGCAAAGGGCAGGAGATGAGCAGCAGTGGGAGAACAGACAGCTGAAGTGCTGACACTTGATAGCCTTTTGACCAAGCCAGTCAGGATCACCTGTCAGAGGCTCCAAGATCTACCAGTAGAGCCTGATCTACTGGTTGGTGACCACTGCCGTAGGAAGACCCGGGATTTTATTTCTTCTCCTGTTTTGCTCAAGGACCTAAATGGAGGTTTCAGCAGATACGAATTTTTTTAAATTAAAATCCCAGAGACAAGAAGTTAGTAGCAACATCTTTGTTCCCAAATATCTATTCATTCCTGGAGTTAAATAGGTCAAAAGACAAAACAAGCCAAAAAGACAGGATCACTGCCTAGCCCCTTGTATATAATCACTTATGTCTGTGCAAACAATTCCAGTTTGGGGGCATTTTACATTTGCTTTGCATGGGAGTGAAATGAGCTGGGTAAGATGCACATTGAGAATCAGGACCACAGAGCTACATATACAGGCTAAAAATCTTTCCCTCTCCAATGCTTGGCTCTCTTATCCTTGGCTTTTGTGTTGGCACTATTTCCCTAGTTTTCTAGCTGTGCAAAGTCTCCAAGATAGACCAGTCCTGAGTCAGAGTCTCCAGCCTAGATGAGACCCAAATCTCCAATATAGAAAAACAAGTGGGAAACAAACCCACTTAAAAATATCCTCCTGCCAACCACAATACATCATAAAAGGCACAAGTCCAATACACCACCCCACCCCACTTTGCAGGTCACCTTTCATGTTTGTGTACTTGCTGGCTCCATTTTGCTTAAGTAGCACATTTGGTGGCTTTTAAAAGGCATTTTACCACAGTTGGGTTTGACACCTTCTTTGTGGATTTATTATACTGGAACATCCCAGGGTGAAAACCTTGTAATTTATAAGCCTTTGTTTTTAGCCACAACATTCTTCTAAAAGCAGTTATTAATTATGGATCCATAAACATGTGCATGCACAGTCTATGCCGTAATAAACTAGAAACTAGGACAGTCCGTATCGGATCTAGCAAGATAGGCTTTTTTGACAGCACTAAGCAATAGGACAACACAGCTATAATCTGGGGACATGGAATGGCTCATTACCCAGTCAAGGTCATTCAAAAAAGAATTAGTGTGTAGAGGAGCCAGAGAGGGGGAATGAAATGAAGAGGACAGAGCTAGGGGAGATATGGGAGAAGGAAGGGTCAGCAACTCATCAGCACACTAGACCAGGACCCAGGACCCATGGGTACTAATCCTGGTTTTGCTGGTGACCATGGGCAAAGGTGCTTTGCCTTCTGTGTCGCACAAAATGGAGATAAAGATACTGACACCTCCTCTGTAAAGGGTTTGAGATCTACAGAAGAAGACTGAGGCAAGAGTTAGGCATTATTGCTACTTTCTATTTCACTCACTCCCGACCACCAATACCACTTCTCCATTTTAGATTGGCCATCTGCCTAGACTTTCCTATTTCCTGCTCCTTTGTTCAAAGGGGGTGCCAGCGCCCAGATATCAGCCCTGTGCTCCACTAACGGTGTGAAACTCATCACAGGATATGAAAAAGAGCTTGCGCTGGTGAGTCTGAAAAGAGCAAAATATCAACAAGAAAACCCCTGCACTCTCCAGGCCCGTGGAGCAGGACAAAATTAAGGGAAGGGGAAAGGGGTCTCTTCTTTTGAGGACCTAGTGGCCGCAGGTACCAAAGACAGGCAACATCTCTGCAGTCCCAGAGCTATTTGTGTCTAGCTTAGCCACGCTGCATCTGCCTAAGCTGGAGGAGCCATTCTGCAACCTGGCAAGCAAGCAAGAGCATTAAGCATTCTGTGCATCACCCAGATCATTTCCTTGCCTCCTTGCCCCGCCCCACCCCAGGCCAAGAAGTCTGCAGGACAGACATGTTTGGAGGCTTCTGGTTGCTTTCTGCAAGCCAGGGATTTTCAGATTCTCCCTGGCATGGTTGGACCTTCAGTCCCTCTTTGGGGCCTAGCCTGGATAGGTGAGGAAACTCAAGGACTGCTGGAGGTCCGGATGCCAGGCAGCTCTGCAGCACAAAAACCACTTACAGCATGCAATGTCCAGGAGGTGGCAATGAACAGAGGGCACCCAGAGGTTGGATGAGCCAGTGTCAAAGACCACGGTGAACTTTTGCGGTGGGGTCCCAATGCCAATCTCGCCGTAGTACTGCGCCTGAGGGAGGAGAGAGAAGGGAGGGGAGAGAAGAGGCATTTTAATATAGGTACAAGTTTCTGGTGATAAGCAGGTCATTGCCATGGGCTCTCGCTCAAAACTTCATCAAATAGGATAACCCTGTAGTGCGGATGCATACACAACCTTGCAGTAGGTACAAGAGTGCAACCCAAGTAGGAGCGCGAAATGGTGTGGTGGTCCCAGAAAGGAAAAGGGGCCACCACAACTGGTTTTCTGCATACAAGAGCCAGGGCTGGCATTAAGGGGGGGGGGGGCAAGCAGGGCAAAGCTAAGTTGCGCAGGGTTTGGCTTAAGCACCAGGCTGTGGAGCTTGGAGCCCCAATAAGTCTAATGCCAGCCATGCTTGGCGGAATCCCTGAAACCTGCCCCCCCCCCCCCCTCCCTCCCAAGGGGCACCAGAGCCCTGGTTGAGGACCACTGGAGTGGACAAGTGCTGGCGGGAGTGAGCTCATAATCACTCCAGTACCAGCCTCTTCCAGCAGGGGTCACTTGTAGGGGAGCGTTGAGCATATTAGCTACTATGTGTGGGGAACTCAGAGCTTCTCCAACCCCAGCCTCTCCCGGGAGGAATTTAGGGAGGAACTGGAGTAAGAACACTGGCTGCAGTAAGTTCCAAAGAGCCTAACTCCCACTGATTTCAGGCCTATGAAAATTGAGCCTCACCCAGCAAGAGTCACTGCAAGGAACAGCAGAGTCTCCAATAGATACAGTAGCACCCAAATACATCACAATGTTGCATGCTGGGCAGGAGTCTCCCTCTCTCCTCTCCTCAGGCCACACAGCGACAGAGTGCTGGAAGGAGGGCCGGGCCTGTGAGGATATTCTACTGCAGTGGTTCTCAAGTCATGGGTTGGGACTCCAAAGTGGGCCGTAAATTTGGGGGCCTGTGGGATCACTTGGGTCGGTTTAGACTTGTTGGAGCCGAGGGCCAAAGCCCAAGGGCTTCAGCGCCGGATAGCAGGGATATAAAAGCCCATTTAAAAGGTTAACCAGTTAAACCACATGTTTAACCACCTGCCCTCCCGGCCGTATGGTAGGCCCAAGGCTCATCACACTACATTGGGGGGGGGGGGGGGCAGCGGCGCCAGCCAGT